TGGCTCGGCAGTCCCTGTCTTCGCACCGCCAGCGAGACTTCGCCATGGCGCGGAAGACCCAGTCTTGGACGACGTATCTCGACAGCGACGACCATTCCCATGGCCAGCATCGTTGGACATGTTCCTGCCCCGATTGCGGTTGCGCCCAAAACCAGCATATATTCAAGTGGTGCACGCACTGTGGTCGATCTCGTGTGGATGTTGGGGCTTATGATTGGCCGCGCACACATGGGGCATGGCAGCGAATATCGCCGCGGCTATTACCCGGCCCCAGCAGCTTGACTGAGACGCCGAAAGACACAACGCCCGAGGATATCTACTCTCTGCTGGCCATTGTTGTCAAGTTCGGCGACAAGCAGGCGCGAACGCAGTTCGAGGCATGGAGCAAGCAAAAGGTTGCTGAATCAAAAGGTCCTGCTGTCAAACCCCTGAAGCGCCAAGCGGCGGAGGCCCTCCAGGAAGTTCAGGTCCCCGAGAAGCGCCTCAGCAACGCTATCTCGAAGGTCGAGAAGGCACGCGAGTGGCCGGCCGATTGCGAAGCAAGGCTTGCGATCGCGCAGGCGGACCTCGCAGAGCACGACGACATGCACAAGGAGTTGGTCCCATTGTTGCACAAGTTTGTGTATCGCCCTGAGCATGCTGGCCCTCCTGATGCCGTCGGCGGCATCGGCTTGCGTCATTGCAAGCAACAGAGGGGGGCTGGTGCTGGTGCATGATGACGAGCTCCTCGGCATCGACAACAGTCAGCACGAACTTCCACCGTCGGATCTGGAGGAGTTCGCCCGCAGGAAGACCGCGCTACAGGCGGGCTTCAAGGGGTTATCATCGAAAACGTTTGGAGATGTCCTTGTGGCCATTGACCGGGTCAAAGCATAGCAGCCCGCCCGCGCCGAGCGCCTCGCCAAGAAGCGCAGGGCTGGCATGCGCGACGAGGAGGCCGCCGAGCCCGCCTGAGCCCCGATCCCGAGCACGCCGCCCAGCGGAGGCAGTCAGGCCACTTGGAGGAGCTGCAGCGGAACAAGGGTCGGGCGATGGGCAGCCACATGATTGTACAAAACGCCCGCGCACAACAGGGTGTGTCATAGAGAAACAGCCACACACCGTATGTTCGCAGAGCGCGGCGCACGTAGCACAGTGCAGAGTTTATCTCCAACGTTCGCCATCGCCGCTATCCTACGTGGCACGGGCAACTGAAAGCGCGGATCAAACGTGCGACCGGACGATTGCCATCCTTGGTCGCACCCGCAAAAGCGCGACGTGCGCAGTGTCCGCGGGGCGCGGGCGCGCTCGCGATGGCCTGCCCCGCAGAAACTGCATGGGTAACGAGCGCGCGAATGCAGAAATTCGCCGGCCCAACGGGCCAGAGGCGTGCTAAGATCTCTGGTAACTACTTGACAATATGTCTAGTTCGCGCGCGCGGGGCGGCCCCTGGGGAGCCCCGGGCGAAAAAAGCCCCGGCCGATCCCCGGCTGATCCCTGGGCGATCCCCAAGGGGGAGGCTATTTTTCGCCTCGCGAGGATCGCGGTCTCCGATGTGGGGGGGGGGGGCCGCCAGCGACCGGCCCCCCTCCCGCCCCAAGGGGCCCCCAAGAGCCACCCGAGGCCCCAGGGGGGCCCAATGCGCCGCCAAGGATCCCCAAGATGCTCCCAAGAAGCCCCCAAGAAGCCCCCAAGACGGCCCCAAAACGCCCCCGATGGCGCTCCAGGGCCAGCGGAATGAGCGAGGCGATTAAAATGATAAACAAACTCGCGCGTGACTCTGCTAGGGAATCGCAATTTCCGGTGCACATTGGTTCTGCATTGGTTTCCGGCTTCGCCGCTATTGCGGGCGATAGCGAAGCATTGGGCCTTGCGCGCCGCGGCGGCGCAGGAAACGCCGCAGCCTCGCACGTGCGACGCAAGAGCCACCGCAGGGCCGCGCGAAGAGAACAGTCGCAACACGGGACGTCCTGGCGGAATCCTGGGTTTTGGCTCGCGCGCTCAAGCGTCGCCCGCTTGCGTGCGCAAT